CTTACTAATTTTACTTTCTAAATATTTCTCACATCTGACCCCTCCTCAGGCTACAGCCTTCTTTATCTTTTGCCTGGACCTTTGCAGGAGACTCCTCGTTGGTCTCCATGTATCAGCTCTTGATCTTCTTCAATTCATCCTCTGTACAGGCCACCGGAGGGATCTGTTTGAAATTCAATCTGATCAAGTCACTTTTCTTCTTAAAAACCTTCCATGGCTCCTCTTTCAGTGGAGTTGACTGAGTGGGTTCTATGAGACACCAGCCCTGCAGGACACTCCACAGATATAAGACAATAAATTTAGGAAATGCTGTACACTAAATGCCCCTCTTCAAGTTTCATAATGTGCATTAGCATCTTAAAGATGGCTTCATTACTGTCCTCAACTCCAGTGTCTTAATCTCTGACCATGCTCGCCTGTGCCTTGGGTCTTGTCTGCTCCCACCTCTACTGCCTGAGTTCATCTATTTCTCCTGCACCTTCTATCTTTCCTTTAGTCTCTGCCTTCAGCCTATAAATATGTTCACATCTCTTCCCTTCCCGTGCACAGTCATGCTTTTTGAAACAGTCATCTACATTTTCTGATTCCAATTTCACTCTTTCCTTTCCAAACTCAACCCATTGCAGCCTGCCTTCAGATCCTACTGCCTCCTGAAAGCACTCTGGCCACAGTCACCAAGACTGTCTTGCTGCTCACCTAGGGGACACTTGGAGGCCCTTGACTCCATGAACCTCTCTGGAGCAGTTCCTCTCTGGAACCTATTACTGTTGGCCCATCCTTCCTTTTTATAAATGCCATGCCCCTCGGATGGTAGGACATCGCCCTCAGGTTTTCCTCATCCCCGTCCTGCTCACTTTGGCTGCCCCTGCTCCATCTGCCCCCTAAACACTGAGATTCTCCAAGCTCCCTTGGCCTTCTGTTCTTCTCTTTCTGAGGCCCGTCTCTGGGAATCCCATCCACACTCATGTCTTTGCTGGGCACAGACGATTCCCACACCCCTGTCTTCAGTTCAGACCTTTCTCCTGAACTCCAGAACCACACCTCCCACTGCCTGCTGGATCCTGGACACCCCAGACATCTCAAACCCAACACGTCCCAGACAGAACTCATCTCCTGCCCATGTGTGCCCCATAGCAGCCAGTGAGACTACCAAGGGCACAACCTAGAAATCTGAGTGTCACTCTGGCCTCTTGCTCCTACGTCCCCATCCCTACCAGTCACGTAATATTGTAGGGCCAACCTGGCTCCACAAGAGAATCATCTGAAAAACTTGCCAAACACAGCTTCCTGGGCCCTGCCCCTGACTTACTGAATCCAAATCTCCAGGTCTGGGCCTAGGAATGTGAATTTCTGGAAAGCTTCCCCAGGCTGCTGTGATGCCTGCCTTGAACCACAGACTGGCCTTAGGGAACCACCGCTCTGTAACCCATCCGCTTCTCCTGTCCCCTGCCACCATCAGTTCTGCTTGCCTAGTTCAGGGCGACAGCCTCCTTCCTGTGCTCCTGATAATATGCTCACTCCCTCTGGTCCATTCCCCATGCTGCAGCAGTGGCAACTTTCCGGAAAGTGCAATAGGGCCTTGGCTCACCTCTGCTTAAATCTTTTCTGTGTGCCCACCCTGGAACGCTGCCTTTGTGGGCCTGTGTCCTTGGTGGAGTGACTTTTGCTCACCTCTTTTTTTTTTTAAATAAAAGATGACGAGTAAGGGGCTCTTAACCCTTGACTTGGTGGTGTCAGCACCACGCTCACCAAGTGAGCCAACCGGCCATCCCTACACAGGGATCTGAACCCATATAAATAAATAAATAAAAGATGACCAGTAAGGGGCTCTTAACCCTTGACTTGGTGTTGTCAGCACCACGCTCACCAAGTGAGCCAACCGGCCATCCCTACACAGGGATCTGAACCCATGGCCTTGGTGTTATCAGCACCGCACTCTCCCGAGTGAGCCACGGGCTGGCCCTTCTGCTCACCTCTTAAGCCTCACCTCCTACCTCACCCTGTCCAGGCTACACACTCCAGCCATGCTGAAAGGCACATGGTCCTGCTCACCTCTTAAGTCTCACCTCCTACCTCACCCTGTCCAGGCTACACACTCCAGCCATGCTGAAAGGCACATGGTCCTCAAATACCCTTTTTCACAGCTCCTGTCTTTGATGTGTTGTTCTTTCTGGTTGTTCCTCTCACTCTCTCAGTCCCTCTGGATCTAGTCTTAAGGCTCAACCCAGGCCGAGCTAAACGCCTACTGCTCAGGCACTATTAGCCCACATGGTGATCATAGCGTTTCCAGGTTTCTCCCCCAGTTTAACAGTGAATGCTCACGACAGGACCTGGATCCTGATTGGTCACTATCCTCAGAGCTGCACCCAGTTCCTGGCTCAGAGAGGGGTCAACAAGGGTTAGTGAACAGAAGGGTAAAAGAAGGGAGGGAAAGAAAGAAGTCAGGAGGGCTTAGAGGATTTGCGTGACTCTGCCAGTCTGTTTTGAGGCCCAGGCTAAGAGCTGGGTCTCTAACTAGTAGGGATGCTGCTCTGGGTCCTGAGGCTGGGTTCACAGAATTACCATGGTGGTGTTTTTCTGCCCTCGTGGCTCTGGATTTCCCTGGTAGCCAGGCGAGTTATGTTAGCCTGCCCTCCCCATTTCATGTGCCGCCCAATGAGGTTTGGGGCTTCTGAGAAGTCCTGGCCCCTCCTGTCTGCCCTGGCCACCTCTGAACTTCCATTAACAAGGAGAGTGGGTTCACAAGGACTTTGGGACCACTCCACTCTCTACTGCCGAACTGGCTGTGCCCCCCTCCTTCCTGGACCCTGTTCCCACCCTTGCTTAGTACCTGGACAACAGCACCAGTGTCCTCCTGCCACAGCAGCCCCAACCGGGGGGTGGACCCCTTCTCCCGGCCCCTCTTGCCCCACCCTCCTTATTCCTTTACCGTTTTCTCCCTCTGACCATCCTCACAGGGTTTCCCTGGGCTATAAACCATGGTACCGGCTCCCGACTTTGCTGCCCTCCTCCAGCCTCCTGCCCCCGCTCCATCCCTGGCCTTAAGATGGCTGAAGCCATGCTGGGGAGGAGTACTGGATGGGGGCAGAGGCCTGCACTAGCTACATGGCACCCCTGTTTTCTCCCCTCACTGTAGAGACACCAGACCCACTACAAAGTTGGTTTGATTTTATGGGTTTGATTCTTCTGCCTCCCACACCCAGGTCCAGCTACTAACTTGCAGGTCCCAGTGCAATATGAAAATGCAGGACCCCATGTTCAAAAAATATTAAGAATTTTTTTTTTTTTTTTAAAGATGACCGGTAAGGGGATCTTAACCCTTTGACTTGGTGTTGTCAGCACCACGCTCAGCCAGTGAGCGAACCGGCCATCCCTATATGGGATCCGAACCCGGGGCCTTGGTGTTATCAGCACCGCACTCTACCGAGTGAGCCACGGGCCGGCCCAAAAAATATTAAGAATTTTAAGACAGCAGTAGCAGAGCATTCCTGCTTTTCCATTTTCCAATCCAACCATCAGGCCCTTCTAAGTGCATGGCCCTGTGGGACTGCACAGGTCGCATGTGCATAAAGCTGGCCCTGCCCATGCCCCTTTCCAGCTAGTGATGGCTGCTCTCCTCTCTTCTGTCCTCTGCTGCTTTCTTAGACAGCTCCTCGGGACCTCCAGGTGGGAGCCCAGCCAGCCACCTGCAGAAGCCCAGGACTCTGCTCAGCAGGCACTCAGCACAGGTCCCCCAAGGCCTCAGAAGTCTTCACCCCCACACTCCCTCTGGGCTTCTCATGGTACTGAGCCCCACCTGGTTGAGCCTGAGGAAGGGAGGACAAGCTGATAAACAATCACTGCTCTCCAGGAGTTCAGTTTATAGCAGAGATAAGACCTGACCAAGAACAGGACCAAGCAATGATCCTGTGAGTTCACAGAAAAATAACCACATTTGATTAGGAAACTGAATTTCACAACAGACTCCATAAAGATGGGCTTTGATGAATGGGCAAGATTTTATTAACCAGAGGAGGAAAAGGGCACTCCAGGGAGAGGGCACAACATGGGCAAAGGCTTAGAGGGGAAGACACGTGGCAGGTTCCAGAATACTGAGTTGTGCAGTTTGGTTGAGGTGCACGGTTGGTGAAATAGTGGAAAGAGGCTGGAAGGAAAATTTGGGGTCTGCAGTGAAGAGCTGGAAGAGCTGCGGTGAGGTGTTTGTTCCCTTTACTGGGGACAATGAGGGAACTTTGGGTGTTTGGGTGTGGTGCGTATTCGGGAGTGAAGGGAGAAGGAAGACTTCCTCAGCTCCCCCCCGCCCCCAGCCTGCCCACAGAGTGCAAAGCCTCACTTTTCCACAAAACAGGCCGCACCCACCCTCAGTTCTGGAGCTCATTCAGTCCATCCGACTAAGGGGCGGCAGCCTGGGCTCGCTCATGCCTGCGAACGCGGAGGACCCAGGATCTCCCAGGAGCCTACGTTCCGCGCGGCGGTGCCCAGGCCGGTGCGTGTGTGTGTGTGTGTGGCGGGGGGGACTGGGGCTTTCCCGCCACTCGCTCCCATTGGACCCGCGGGTGTGCGTGCGGCAGAATAGGATCCAGGACCCGGGAGAGGAGGGGACCGGCTGGGCACACCCAGAAAGCCCGACTGGGGATGGGGAGGGAGTGGTTCCCATCTCCTGATGGCCCCCACTACCCACTTTATTTTAACTTTCTGTTATGGATATCTTCAAACATACACAAAAGTAGAGAGAATGGTATAATCATTCCCCAAGTCCCCACCGCCTGGCTTCAACAATTATCCCCTCCTGGCCTATCTTGTTTCGTCCAACCCCTCTCCCACCACCCACTTTAAAGCAAGATGTGGGTGGCCCGGGGGTAGTGGAGGTGTCCCCCAGTTGTAGGAGAGCGGGTGACGGGCCTGCACCACTAGAAAGTGGAGTGCAGAGAGGCGGAATGGGGGCATGGTTGGGCGGGGAGCTGTGCTCACGCGGGGTAGGGGCTGCGGGGGGGGGTGGGGGGCGCTCTCCCAGTGACTCAAGGCGCGCGGGGCTCGGCGCACAGCGCCAGTCTCCGCCCTGCAGCGCCGAGTGTGCCTGCTGCGCCGCCGCTGTCCGTGCCTGCCGCCGCTTTCCCGCCGCCGCCACCGCCACCATGCCCAACTTCGCTGGCACCTGGAAGATGCGCAGCAGCGAGAATTTCGACGAGCTACTCAAGGCACTGGGTAAGCTGGGGTGGACGGTGCGCCCCGACGGCGAGAGGGAGGTGACTCGGGTCTGGAGGGAGTGGGCGCTGGGGAACCCCACGCAGGAAAGAGTCCCCGGGGCGATAGATGACCCCATCTCTTAGGCGCACCCTGTCTCGGAGCGGCGAGCGGAGCCCGGGGCCCACGCGTCCAGTAAAGGTTTGTTAGATGTTTGGCACCTTCCCCGACGGTTCGTCCTTTATTACGTGCTAGATAATTGCGAGGAGAGAGTACTGGAGTGCAAGAAGGGTCAGGGACTTTAAATTTGGGGACTCAGCTTAAGACCAGGCTCTGCCGCGAATTCACTGTGCAACTCGGGTAAAGCCACGTACCTTCTCTGAGCATCAGTATCTCATCTTGAACACCAGGGCGAGGGCAAGGAAACGAGTGGATTTTAAGGCCCCTGTCTAAAGTCAAAGGGTTTAGGAAGTGCCCTACCAGTCCCGGGACGACGGGCCGGTAGCGATGCCCCGTCACCCGAGCCGGTGGCGCAACCGCCGTTCCTGGCGCAGGTGTGAACGCCATGCTGCGGAAGGTGGCTGTAGCGGCTGCGTCCAAGCCGCACGTGGAGATCCGCCAGGACGGAGATCAGTTCTACATCAAGACGTCCACCACGGTGCGCACCACTGAGATCAATTTCAAGGTCGGAGAAGGCTTCGAGGAGGAGACAGTGGACGGACGCAAGTGCAAGGTGAGCCCCAGAGCCCACGCAGCGTCCCCGAGTCCCTGCTCCCTGCCCATGGCCCGCTGCAGCCAGAGGAACCGATGTCTCCCCTAGCAGCCTGTGGCGCGCTTTCTTTGCAGGGCGTGTGCACGCGCTGTTCTCAGAGAGGGTTTGTACAACCTGGTTACCCTGGGCTCAGGAAAAATTCCTACCCACATTCGCTCCCAACCCCATCCCTAAGACGCCTCCCGAGGTGCTAACAGCCGCGCTTAAAGCGCGGGCTTTGGGTTGCGCGGCGTTCCCAGCTGTGGCTTTTGCAGAGGTTTGCGGCGCCCTACGCGCGAGGGCGGGCGGTTGCAGGGGCCACGTTTCCTGTCTCAGGTGGAGAGGCAGATCTCGTGTGCTACCCTCTCCCTCCACCACCCCCCCCCCGGGGGTCCCTGGGCCGCCTGGGATCACTGTGGATCCAGTTTCAGCAGTCCCTATGGCCCCGGCACCTCTCCCCTCCCTCCTTAGCCTGGTTGCTTAAAGGCACGGCGGATCTTTCCAAAAGCAACCCAAGTTCTGTCTGGGAAAATGGACTAAGTGCCCTCTCTTAGTCCTCAAGGGCAAGAGTTTTTTTATTTCTGTGTACGTCGGCTGCAGGGATGAATGAGTGGATTGAAGCAACGGGTTGTACATTCCTTTTTTGCATAGGCAAAAATTGTATTTGGTTAAGCAGATTAAAAAATAATCACTGCTGCTACCACTTATCTAAAAAGTGACAAAATGTCTCCCTCCCTTTCTCCAATGTTTAAAAAACGAAAAAAGTCATAACATTCCAGAGAGTGGGAAATTGTTTGTTTCACCTTTCCTGAGTGGTGCCTGTCTGATCTCACAGTGGGACCTTCTGGGCACTGGGCTTGGGAGAAGGCAGACACAGCCCCTCAGGAGCAGGTTGCTCCAGGAGACAATCTTTGGCTCCCAGAATTGGCATAGCCTGAAAATGATGTCGGGGCTGAGATATGAGGCCCAAGTCGCTGCATTGTTTGCGAAGACAAAAGAGCAGGATAATGTAGTTAGAGTGAAGGCCTGGGAGTCTAAGGGAGAAGGCCTGGCTTAATTTGGGGATATCCAACGGTGGGTAATTCTGATTTAAAAATCAAAGGTTTACACAACAGCCTGTAGAATGGGGCTTTATCTCCCAACCTCAACCTTGCCTAATGAATGTGTCCCATGTGTTAGTTAAAAAGTGATTATGTGCACATTCAGTACTGCCCGCCCCTCCCCTAACCCCACCCTCAACCCAGCTATACCACACTTTGTGCAGACACTGGGGAAAATTGCAGGGAATCGCTCCTTTCGCATCCTACCTCCAACAGCATGAAGACCCTTCAGATCAGTTTTTTTCTAGATGGATGTAACCTGGAAAGTGGCAGCATTTTTATTCTTGGAGCCAGAGATGCTCAGGTTTATCAGAGCGCTACATCTGATGAGAGCAAAAAGAATGGAAGGTCTTATCCCAAAATCCCTGCAGGAGCTTGTGCTCCTGATCTGCAGACCAAGGATGTGGTTGCAAACATGGTGTCCTAACCATTCTAAAATTTTGTGGTTCTGATGTGTAGGTTCTTGTCTTTGAAATCCAAGTTGCTTGAAGGGGTAATCCATTTTGACATAAATGAATCATCGCACATTCTAAATTTTATTCCTAGAGATGTAAAGTGTGCCTAAGGCTTTGCGGCTTCAGTGAGTGGGTATATGCGTGCATGCGCGCGCGTGCAATACAAGGTATGTTTATATCCCATCAAATCCATGACCGGCACTCTGAATTTGGACTTTACAGGGCTCAGCAGAGAAGATTCTGTGCCCTGCTGACAGGGACCATGTGTTGCTTCTCTGCGCAGCAATTATTCTCCAGCGTTCATTGTTGTCTCTGCTCCCGCTGCGGAGACTGTAATTAACGTCACTAATGGTTTTGCTGCCTGCAGAGTTTAGCCACTTGGGAGAATGAGAACAAGATCCACTGCACACAAACTCTTCTTGAGGGGGACGGCCCCAAAACCTACTGGACCCGTGAGCTGGCCAACGATGAGCTCATCCTGGTGAGAGCCCTTGGACCCTCAAACAATCCCAGAGTTCCCCAGATGATGCCCGAGGTGGGCCACACAAACATGTCATCTTCACTTGCCCATTCAGAGAAAGACATCATTTGCCCTGGGTTAAAAATTGAGCAGAAAACTCTAGATGACAATTTAGGTCAGAGGAAATCGTTGTTAAATGGTTGGCAGGAGAGGTGAGTAGCTCAGACAGCAAGACAGGGTTATGGACAGGCTGGCGTGCCTGCCACTACCATAGTAATACATGCCGGTGGAGGTGACATGCTTTAAGCCAACCTCCCGTCCAGCTGGCTCAGAATGATCTCTGTGAGGTCCCCAAGCTCACACAGCAGAAGGGATTTTTTTTTTCTTTGCGTTCCCCATTTGGCTGGCTGGGAAAGGTTTCAGAAATTTTCATTACATCGGCATTCAGAGCCTTAGAGGACACTTTTACCCCCGGACTTGCAAAATCCAATGGCCTTCAGGAGCCAGGCAAGTAATGATAATTTGGGAAGTGTGAGTGCAACCCAATGTGGAGGGGTAGGGCCTTAGATCTGGACAAGGTGGGCTCTTCCTTAAAAGTTTTAAGACTGAAACATTTTAAACACCCCCAGCCAAAGTAAGCTTATGTGGCGAGGCCAAGTTAGAAACCCCTATCGTTTAATCACATACCTCCTCCCCTGTTTTTAGGGTAGAGCAGCAAGGACAGATGGGGAGGACGGGACAAGTCCCACATCACTCTCCCTTTGTGTTTCAGAACTGACCGTGCTTTCCTTGTAACCATCTTTTTTCCCCCAGACTGGAAAAGGGAAAAGCTGTCGTGGATAACCAAGAAATTATATCCTTTGTTCTCCATCAGGCATATTTTGTTAAAATCTGCCCTGTTTTAGCGAATATCACCCCAAAATGTTGGGAATAGGAGACAGCGAGGTGTGGTATGTGACCTGAGCATGGCTCTTCCCTTCCCAAGCTCCAACCCCCCGCAGTAAAATGAGCGGCTGCGCTGAATTCTGATCCCTGAGGTCCCTCTCAGCCCTGAAATTACATGTTTATTCTGCAAGAAGACCCTAAATTGAGCTGTCTCTATTACTTTAACTGAGACTGCTTTATCTCTTTCTCTCTCTCCTCTGTCCTTCCCTGGGATGATTTAACATGCTTTCTCCTTTCATAGAGAAGGGACTGGCTTAATTTGCAACCTGGCTAATGTTGTTTCCAGGGGAAGAATGCTTGATGAGGTTGGGGAGCAATTTGAGGCTGAAACTTGGAAACTTAGGAGAAAAGGCACATATGGTTTCCTGGTACCAGAGACAGCAAAGAGGGAGATGATTTTAGAGGTCTTGAGTGTAGCTGAGAGCTAAGTAGGATCGGTTTGCTCTGAGAAAGTGTGATTTTATTAACCTCTGTAGCACCCTAGAAGCCAGAGTCACAGACCAAATCCTGCTGGAAGGACTTCACTACTTCCAAAGCCCCTACCACCCCCTTTACAATTCCACTCATGCATCCTTCCCTGGCTCAGCAAAATATATACAAGCCTCCAGGGGAGCATTAATTCTTGGCATTTGTGATCTGAAATGTAGGCTTTTGTTTCAAGGCTTATTATCAGTAATAAATTTAAAACGTAGGGAGATGTAGTCTCCATATAACAAGAGGCAAATTAATCTAATTAAATTAAAATAAGCTCTCCCAGTGCCAACAGTAAATTGTCTCCAGGCTGTAAGTTGCCTTCCTTTGAAAACTGAGTATACTCCCTCAAACCACTCTGGAATACTCTATAGAGAGTTTCTTTCGGGAACCTCTAAGCGTAGTTTGCAGGCTGAGAAGGCCCCTTCAAATGTGATTGGAAATGTGGCAATTTCTTCCCATCATGAAGCCATTTGTCAGCCTGGGTGAACTGACAGCTAGAACAGTTACTGCGTGGGTAGAGTCACATCCCCAAACATTGGCATTCCATTTGAAACTTCATGGCCATAAAGCTCAAAGCATTCTGGAAAACTTATATGGTTCCGAGGGGTCCAGATGTCTGAGAGGTGGATTTATGGTGGGAACTCCACCCTCCACATACCCCCAAAACACAATCATCTGCACTCCTCACTAAGGGGGAAAGAGGGGTGGACAAAGGAGGTGTCCAAAATCATGTATAACTGCATCATTCTGGCCAGGAGATCCCTAGTATGATCCCCGTGAGAGGCCCAGGAGAGCAGGCTTGTGAGTAATTGCTAGTTTTTGGAAAAGTTGAGACAGCTTACTTATGGGCAGTATCATTTCAGGGGCCAGAAGAAAAACTGTCCTCTTCCATCTGTGGAATGGTTCGTGTCCTCCCTACAGCATGCAAACAAAGAGCTATAGAATTTTAGCTGGAAAGAGCCTTTGGATCATCTTGTTCAATTCCACCCCTCCCCTCAGCAACACCCCCTGCTTCTCCCTCCCCCAAACAGGCCAAGAGAGGAGAGACTTACCCAAACTTACCCAGCTGTGAGTTACAGAGCTAGGTCTGCATGCCAACGCTATCCTTTTGCAGCTGAGACCAATTTTCTAGCTTGCAGGTGACTTGGGTGTTACTTATACAAGGGGGTCTTCAAAAAGTTCATGGAAAGATTTTGTATTTTCATTCTATTTTTCCACGAACTTTTTGAAGTATCCTTGTACAAAATGTCAGGCTGTCTCCCAAGCTAGATGGCTGCTTTCTGGAAAGCAGTTCTATTCCTTCTCCAAAGCAATCCCATCTGGCTGGTCAGCGCTGGACCCCATGGCTCCAGCTGCCCAAGCCCCTTGCTCTTTTGAAGTCGTTTGAAAAAAGACAGAACCACTTAAGGAATGTCCAATATGACATTCTCCCCTTTCAGTTTAATTTCAAAACCAAAGCCAGGAAATTCTCATTTGTTATGTCAGCATTCACAGGTTCCAGAAGCAAAGGAAAATTATATATAACATAATTCTATACCCTAGTTGCCTCTCTGCCAATAGAAAGCTTAAGGGGGAAAAAAAAACCCTAGCACTTTGCATGAGCACACAGCACAGGAAATTGAATGTCTGTTACAAAGAGTTTTTAACAGGGCAGTAAGTGGCCTTATTGGTGATATGCTTTAAACATTTTTGCACAGGCATGTGCACTGATTGGTTTTCCTTTTCTTCTCTGCAGACGTTTGGCGCCGATGACGTGGTCTGCACAAGAATTTATGTTCGAGAGTGAAGGCTTGTTCACACTTATGGGATGGGACGCAGCTTTCCCCAAGGAATATGTCATAGGTCTGAGCTGCTGGTGGACCACCCCCTTTCCCCTAGCAACATTAGGTGATCCCATTTTCCTCATGACAAGGTCGTAGTGTTTTCCCCAAGGCCTTCGTGCCTCTTGTATCCCTGGTACTCCGTAGTTTGATATTTGCACGGTTTTATCAGTCATTAAACTGGTTGGACACATCTCAAGGCTTTTTCCTTTTTCGATTGCCTCTTCAGTTTTACGTGGGGGTTACTGTGTGCTGCTGTTTCTTGTGCTGTGTTGGTCTGTGGCAGCTCCAGCCTGCTGGCCTAGGTATAGTGCTTTGAGCATCCATCAGCTGTTGCAAGCTGGGCTCTCACAGACTGACTGGATGCAGACTGCAGATCCAGGTGCGATTGGACCTCACAGTGTTGTTTTTTAATTGAATTAGTTGGTATCGGTCATTGTTAGCAGGAAAGTGAGGGCACATTCAAAAGGGTTAATTGAGGAGAGCTCATAATGAAGGGACTGTTTACATGGGCAGAATGAAGAGAACCAGCAAAAGATGGCAAGGCTCCCAGAGACTGGCAACGGAGGGGTCGTCGTTACCACGTATAGGCCTAAAGATGGAAGGGAAGGAGAGGTCAGCAGACCAAGATAGCTAGAGCCTGGGAGAGGGGCCGTCCTGCAGGAGCTGTGGCAGCACACAGAGGAACACAGCCACTGCCGAAACCGTGGCCCCAGTGTTCGGGGGGGTGGGGGTGAGGCTTGGCTTGGATCAAGGGGTAAATATCCTGATCACCTTTTAATCTCTGATCTGCCCATTGGCCAAATCCAACGGAATGTAAAGAGCAAGAGTGTAGGGGTGGGGGACAGGGTGCTGTTCACGAGGGTCACCCTCTCAGGGGGCAGCTGGGTGGAGAATGGGTCTAAACATGTAAATGGACAATAACCCAGAGAGTTGCCAACTTTTAAACTTGAAAATCAGGACATTTCACATAAAAATCTGAATTTCTATTTCCTTAAGAGAAAAATTAGGAAACTCTGATATCCCTGGACCTACATTCCCACAGGGTGACTGGCTGGGCATCTTCCCCTTTTTAAATAGAATTATACCCTCTGCCTTCCCACAGACCCTCACAGATTGAGGACCTTGTCCCTGCCCTCATCTACGTTGCCTGCCTGACTTCTGTCCTTGCCATCCTAAACACATGGGTTCTTGGCAAAGCCAGGTCCAAGTCAGCTGACCCACAGTGTTTGGGCACAGACAAGGGCAGGAGACCCTCAAAGAGCTCACACTGGTGGGACAGACACCCAAGGCCCAGGCACTACCACCTGAGTGTGAATGAGGACATGTTATCCTCATACCTCTCCAACCCAGGGCCCTACTTTGCTTGGAGGACCTCTGCCCCCCCCCAAAGATTCTACTACCTACATCTGGAACCCTCTGGGGAGAGGGGTTCTCATGCTTCTCACATCCTGAGCTTGCTTATTGTGGCTCTATGGACAGCCTCTGCCGTGCTGACCCCCATGAAAGTGCCAAAGGCCCTGCCAACAGCAGCACTTCCCACAGTTCCAGAGCCACCAGACCCTGATGCATCAGAGCAGAACTGGATGCTGGGTCAGAGTCAGAAGAAAGCCTAACACTGGGCTATACTTTGTCTCTGGGCTTTGGGGCACCTCTGCTTGTGCCCAGGACCTGTCATGAATTTCGTGCTCTTATGAAAACAGCTCCTTCAACTTCTAGCTCTGCTCCAGTGCCACTGGGGCCAGTGGGTGCAGTCACCATGCCATGCCCTCCTTTATGCTTGTTTCTCCTCTTTGGGGATGCACTGCTCAGCTGAAACAGCCAAGTCCACACTCAGCACCCTTCAAAGCAGAGTTTCATGAGGCAGTGAGTAGAGTGCTGAGGAGTTGCCCCATAGCTTCTTGGAGGAGGGGCTGGAGCAGGGCCTCTGAGGATGGGGAGGACCTGGATCAGTCTGCAATAGGAGGGAAGGCAAGGTGGGGGCCCACATGAGAGTGAACGTGCTAGACTTGGAAGTAAGGGGACTGAGCTGGCCACACAAAAGAAAGTGGGCAGGGCAGGCTGTGCCAGATGGGTGAGGGCCGGGATGTCTGGGCTCTGCCCCATGGGTACTAGGTGCTCATAGACTATCAGGGCCTCAGACATCTTGGTCTCTACCCCCTCCTGGCTCCTGCTGCTGCACTTTCTTCTTCAAATGTAAATTTGCTCCTTTGCTCTGAAAGGGCTACTACCCTGCCGTACTGCGGTGGTCCTGCGTGAAGGACCTGGCCCAGCTGAAGGGAGGATGCAGCCCTCCGCCTTTCCTGACTCTGGGAATTGGCCTACTTCCATCGTGTTCTTTTTCATACGTGACATGTCATATGGGACATATGTTTCTTTCAGATTAGCCTTTACAGAGGATAAAGACTAATCAGAGTGCAGGAGCCTACCAGCTGCAACCCTCATCTCCCTGAAAGTCAGGCATGAGTGGGTACATTTGGACGATGGGATATGGCAGCACTGGCAGTTCATTTAGACTCAGAACACGAGCTGCAGTCTGATTCTCTTGAATCTTGTTCCTTCTGCGTTTTCCATATAAAAAGCACAGTGTTTCTCATTCCCTTGTGGAACACCTCTTATGAGACATTAGTGTTCTGTGGAACCCAGCTGGGGAATTGCTGGTATTATCTTCAGCCCTGAAATATTTGCGTGTGTACACATTGCATAGGATATGTAATATACACACATATAGGATGAAAATCCACACAAAGTATCAGTGTCGTCAGAATAATCTCACTAAAACACTGCTCCAAACTTGTCACTCCCCTGCTTAGCAATCTCCATGGTCTATAGCAGAAAGGCTAAACTCTTTGACCTGGCATTTGAAGTCCTCCGTGATTTGGCCCACCAAGTAAAACAGAAAGAACAAGGGCTTTGGTGTCTGTCAGACCTGGCTTCAAATCCCCGGCTGCTTTTAGTTTGCAAGTGCTAGAAACCCAACCACAATCAGTCCCAGCAAAAAGGAATGTACTCCACTACAAGATGGATGAATCTGGAAAACATTAGGCTAAGTGAAAAAAGCAAGTCACAAAGGACCACATATTGCATGATTCCATTTATGTGAAATGTCTAGAGTAGGCAAATCTAGAGAGACAAAATAGAGACTGGTGCTTGGTTAAGGCTGGAAGTGTTGGGGGGAAATGGGTAGCAACTGCTATAGAGTTTCTTTTTGGAGTGATGAAAATGTTCTAATGAGGCTGGCCCGTTAGCTCACTTGATTGGAGGGTGGTACTGAAAACACCAAAATGGAGGTTCAGATCTCCTTACCAGCCAGCTGCCAAAAAAAAAAAAGTTCTGAGACTGATGTGATAATGGTTGTACAACTCCATGCATACACTAAAAACTACTGAATTGTACACTTTAAATGTGAATGGTATACTGTGTGAATTACATCCTAATAAAGCTATGTGCCTTCTTTTAAAGAAATGTAATGACTTCCTTGGTTGTAAGGAATGCTGGGAAAGTCTCTCAGGACTGAATGAAGGAAGAGCTGCAGGAACAGGGTTTCTGAGCCTAGAATCTATACTCGGAGCCCCCTGAAATCCCTCTCTTCTTCTCCTACTCCATTTTGACTTTCTTGTGCAACTGGTTTGGGCCACATGATCACCCTGGACCAGTTAGGGAAGAATAGGGCACAGTGATTGGCCAGGGCTGAGTCATGTGACCTCTCCTCTAGCCAGGGGTAAAGCCTGCTAAGCAGATGGGGGGGAATAGGAGAAAAACAAACTGGGAAGGTGTAAACTGTAGTTATCACCACCTACCAGGCTGGCTAGAAAACCTTGGGTAAATTATGTAACCACTTTGAGTCTTGGCCTCTTGCTATGAACAATAAAACCTGGCCTGGTTGGTGTGGAGATTAAATGAATTAAGGTATGTAAAGTGCTCAGAGCTTCATAGATTCCTGCAAAAACCTTGCCCTCCAGCCACATGGATCCAAACCCTGAACCCTCTCCTCTGGGCCTCACCGATCTTTCACATGTTCAAGGCCAGCACCTATCTCTTTCAGGGCATCTTCTCCGCCTGTCCCTGCCCCCGAGGTTCAAGATTTTTGATGCCTGCCTCCACACCAGGCTCACGATTCCTGTCTGCTGTACGCGCGCAGGCTTTGTTCATGGTCCTGTGCTGTCATTCCACATTCCCGGGGTTTCTGTCATATCCCTTCAACCAGCCCGTGTAGTCCCTGAGGCCTAGAGTGGCTCCTTACACATCTCTGCATTCCCACAGGGCCCGGCAAATGGGAGGCCCTGCTGTGAACATGTGCTGATTATCTGACGGACAGAGAGCCAGCGTTTTCTGAAAGACCCAGGCCTTTCTGAATGGGAGTCATCAAGGAAATGCAGATGTGGGGAGCAAACAGCTACCCAATCCAAGTGCCACCCAACAGCAAGCATAGCCCCTCAGGTGGACATAGCAGAATACATATCACATATTATCAGGCAGAGAATCCACGCCCCATTTAAAAGGAAAGTGTGAATAATACAGGAAATCCTGCTCAGGAGCAGGAAGACTAGGAAGTGGCAAACATATTGATTGTCTGACCCAAAGGCTTTCTCGATCCTCTCTCCTTTGCTCACTTGCCACAGTAGAGACTAGAAAAGCCAGTGCTTATTTTCCCAGCCTGCATTATAACTAGATTGACTGTGTGACCCAGTTCTGGCCAATGAAACAAAGGGGAGGTCCGCTAAGAGGCTTCTGGGAAAGACTTTTTCTTCCTGATAAGAGACGAGAGCCTAAGAAGCTGACTTCTTTTTTAAAAAAATATATCCTATATGGGCCGGCCTGTGGCTCACTCGGGAGAGTGTGGTGCTGATAACACCAAGGCCACGGGTTCGGATCCCATATAGGGATGGCTGGTTAGCGCACTGGGTGAGCATGGTGCTGACAACACCAAGCCAAATGTTAGGATCCCCTTACCGGTCATTTTTAAAAAAAAAAAAAAAAATATATATATATATATATCCTATATAAAGATGACCGGTAAGGGGATCTTAGCCCTTGACTTGGTGTTGTCAGCAGGATGCTCACCCAGTGAGCATGGTGCTGACAACACCAAGCCAAATGTTAGGATCCCCTTACCGGTCATTTTTAAAAAAAAAAAAAAAAATATATATATATATATATCCTATATAAAGATGACCGGTAAGGGGATCTTAGC